CCGAACCCGAAGTAGTAGGGCCAGTTCCTCTCGATGTTGGACAACCGTTGGTGCATCTCGATCCCTGAGGAGGAGAGAAATCCCTTGGGAATGAATCCCGGGGAACGGGGAAACGGATCTTCCCGCCCGGCATTCCGCGCCCTGACCTTTGTTGAACCATCGGTACTCGAAGCAGTAGAGCGAGTAGAGCAGCGACATGTGGAGGAGGCTGACGAGCTGCCCGACCAGGTCGATGGGGAAGAGGCTGACGATCATTCCCTGCGGATGGAAAGCTGGGAATGAGGGTGGGATTTGGGACGGGAGGGAGCGGGGGCGGCGGCGCCGGGCTCACCTGGATGAGGAACAGCGCCTGCAGCAGGAGGTTGAACAACATGTCGGCGATGATCTTGCTGACGCTGGGGAAGGGGTGAGGCTTCCGGCCCGAGACCTCGAATGCCAGGTCGGCGATGTCCTGGGGGAAGAGGGGAAAGGGCTCCAGGGAGATGGAATTCCAGGGAAATTGGGATTCCATTTCCATCCATCCCGGCTTCTCGTGGAGGCTTTGGGGGAAAGTGATTTCCCAAGGGAAAGGAGGGTTCTGAGGCAACGAAACGCCAAGAGGGAAGGAAGGGAAAGGAGGGTTATGGGGAACAGAATTCCAGAGAAACATGAGATTGGGGAAATTAAATTCCAAAGAGAAATGGAGGCGTAAAGACAATCAAATTCCAAAGAGGAAACAGGGGTTTGAGGGAAATGGAATTCTGAAGAGAAATGGGAGACTCGGGGAAATGAAATTCCAAAGAGATAAATGGGGGCTTGAGGGAAATGAAATTCCAAAGATAAACAGGAGGCTCAGGGCAATAAAATTCCAAAGAGAAATGGTGGCTTTGGGGAAACAAAATTCCCAAGAGAAAGGGGCTTGAAGGAGATAAAATTCCAAAGCGAAATATGGGCTTCAGGAAAACAAAATTCCAAAGAGAAACGGGAGCTTGAGGGAGACAAAATTCCAATGAGAAATGGGAGACTGAGGAAAATGAAATTCTGAAGAGAAACAAGGGCTTTGAGGAAGTGAAATTCCAAAAAGAAACAGGAGCTTCTGGGAATCAAAATTCCCAAGAGAAACGGGAATTTGAAGGAAATTCCAAAATATGTATTTGAAGGAAATTCCAAGGAGAAACAGGACAATCAGGGAAATGAAATTCCAAGAGAAATGGGAGCTTGAGGGAGATGAAATTCCAAAAAGCAGCAGGAGCTTGGGGAAGGTGAACCCAAAAAGCAGCGGGGTGACACCACCGGGTGCCAGGAACGCTCCCGGATCCCGTTTTTGGGCTGGGATTCCACCAAAACATCTCCCGAGATCCCACCACCCACCTGGAACCAGATGGCGTTGACGACCTTGCTGAGCACGAAGAGGGGAAGGACCCAGAGGGCGCTGAAGATGGAGGTGAGGAGGAACTCCAGCCAGGACCAGACGTCGCCGTGCAGGGACGGGTCACCTTCGGGAGGGGGAGGAAGGGGTGAGGAACCTCCTCGTCTCGCCTTGAGGAACATTTCTGACTTCTCCTTGGCTCTAGAGCCCCCTCCCCACCCCGCCCCATGCTGAGCACGAAGAGGGGAAGGACCCAGAGGGCGCTGAAGATGGAGGTGAGGAGGAACTCCAGCCAGGACCAGACGTCGCCGTGCAGGGACGGGTCACCTTCGGGAGGGGGAGGAAGGGGTGAGGAACCTCCTCGTCTCGCCTTGAGGAACATTTCTGACTTCTCCTTGGCTCTAGAGCCCCCTCCCCACCCCGCCCCAAGGAGGACTGACGGGTCACCTTCGGGAGGGGGAGGAACTGGTGAGGAACCTCCTCGCCTCACCTTGAGGAACGTTTCTGACTTCTCCTTGGCTCTGGAGCCCCCTCCCCACCCTGCCCCCAGGAGGACTCACCGATGATCTGCGCCGTGACCGACTGGAGGACGGGGATGAACACTCGGTAAAACAAGAAGAGACTGAGCTGGGGGAGACAGAACCGTGAGGAGGTTGGGTGAGGTTCCTCATCCCACAGATGCTCCAGTCCCACCAGCATCTCCGCAGCCTCTGCTGGGCTTTCCCCAGTAGCCTCCTGACCTAAGGAGCTCTACTGGAACTGGTTTTCACAAGGGGTTTGTCCTAAAGAACCACCAAAGCCACTTACCCAGAAGACACCTCCGTTCCAGGCGCAGCACTGGAAGATCCTGCTCACAATCCGCGGTTCGCTGCAAGGGGAGAAGGTCCAGATGCATCTTAAGGTCCCAGTGGTGGGACAAAAGTCCCCTAATGAGGGGTTTGAAACTCAAAAAAAGGGGGTTTAGACTGGAGAGAAGGAAGAAATTTTAGGTTCTGAGGGTGGTGAGAGCCTGGCCCAGGTTGCTCAGAGAGAAGTCAACACCCCATCTCTGGAGACGTTCAAGATCAGGCTTGATGGGGCTCTGAGCAACCTGCTCTGGTTGGAGATGTCCCTGCTGAGTGCAGGGGGGTTGGACCAGATGACCTTGAAAGGTCCCTTCCCACCCAAAAAAACCCATTCTATGATTTTTGAGTCAGCTCGAGCACTCAAGGAAGAAACCCAACAATCTGTGTTGTTCACCTTGCCCACCCAAAAAAAACATTCTATGATTTTTGAGTCAGCTCGAGCACTCAAGGAAGAAACCCAACAACCCGTGTTCCTTCACCTTGCACAGCTCCACGTCCCATCAGATCCTCCAGAACCACGTCACGCTCGGTCCCTACCCTCGAGATTAAAAAAAACTGAAGGAATTTGCCCCATTTCTGACTCACTTCTCTTGCTTCTTCTCCTCCATGTGCAGCCTGCGCTGGGCGAGCGCGCTGTTCGCCCTCCTCCGCCTCTGCTCTTCCCTCTTCTGCTGGATCCGGGCATCCAGCTTGGAGATGGTGCAGATGCCCCAGATGGAGTCCTTGATTCCCTGTGGATACCAGGAGAAGACCAACAGGTAGGACGTGGTCAAGCTGGGCCACCTAAAACCACCCAAAACGGACTCAGATGTGGCCAGATAGATCAACTCTACCCAAAACTCTCGCCTGCTGCTGTCTCCGCTTTACAACATACACCCAAAATCCCTTTTCCTCCCCGTTTTTTTGGAAGATCTGGGCTCAGGGAGGAGGGTTCCACACGTGCACTCACCCTGACGAGGTCATGAAGGAAGGTTCTCACGCTGTCCGCCATCTCGCCTCCAGCATCACCTCTGCTTCCCAAACTATCAACTACAGGGAGAGGGGAAAAGCCGCCCCCAAACCTCTCTCATCCTGGAGAGCTGGGAAACGGGGGGAGCCTGCCGAGAGAGGAGACGAGAGAACGGGTCTCCGGCTTTGTCCAGAGCCACTGAGTCACCCTAAAACCCAAAATCACCTCAGGGGCTCCTCTCAGATCCCTCCCGACCCCAAAGCACCTCAGGATTTTCCCACAGATCCCTCTGGAGCCCAAAATCACCTCAAGGTTTCCTCGCAGATCCCTCCCGACCCCAAATCACCTCAGGATTTTCCCACAGATCCCTACTGGAGCCCAAAATCACCCCAGGGGCTGCTCTCAGATCCCTTCTAAACCAAAATCACCCCAGGGGCTCCTCACAGATCCATACTGGAGCCCAACACCACCTCAAGCTTTCCCCGCTGCTCTCAGATCCCTTCTAAACCAAAATCACCCCAGGGGCTCCTCACAGATCCATACTGGAGCCCAACACCACCTCAAGGTTTCCCCACAGATCCCTCTGGAGCCCAAAATCACCTCAAGGGCTCCTCTCAAATTGCTCCTGACCCAAAATCACCTCAGGGGTTCCTCTCAGATCCCTTGGGACCCAAAATCGCCTCAGGAATTTTTCTACAGATCCCTGCTGGAGCCCAAAATCACCTCAGGATTTTTCCACAGATCCCTCTGGAGCCCAAAATCACGTGTCAGGGGCTCCTCACAGATCCCTCCAGACCCAAAATCACCTCAGGGTTTTCCCATAGATCATTCTGGAGCCCAGAATCACCTCAGGAGCTCCTCTCAGGTTGTTTGGGACCCAAAATCGCCTCAGGAATTTTTCTACAGATCCCTGCTGGAGCCCAAAATCACCTCAAGGTTTCCCCACAGATCCCTCTGGAGCCCAAAATCACCTCAAGGGCTCCTCTCAAATTGCTCCTGACCCAAAATCACCTCAGGGGTTCCTCTCAGATCCCTTGGGACCCAAAATCGCCTCAGGAATTTTTCTACAGATCCCTGCTGGAGCCCAAAATCACCTCAGGATTTTTCCACAGATCCCTCTGGAGCCCAAAATCACGTGACAGGGGCCCCCCACAGAGCCCACCA